TTTTAGAAAGGACAATTTTGCCGCAAGTTTTATTAGACGATGCGAAAGGAAAAACCATACCATAATTTACATCACACCGTAGGCCCCTCCCCCATTAACAACAACAAAGACAACTACTTAAAACAAGCGCCGAAAAAACCTTAGACCTGCGAAAAAACTGAAGAACCCCCATAGCTCTAGGGAGGCGACCCGTGTCCACAACCACAACTGTTGGAAAACATGTCTAAACAACCTAGACCACTATTCTGATTGAGGCGCTTCATGCCATGGAGCCGAAGCCAAAGAAGTCAAAGAACCAAAGAAGTAGTTCAAGAGAAAGGAGAAGATGATCTTCCTGCCATTGTTTCAGGAGTTACCTGCTTTATGTGCGTTAGAAGCTTTAACTGTTAATTGTAGCAAGACAAGCAGATGATGGACTATTGGAGATATAGTCTTACGTCACTGCATCAAGAGTCGACCAAACGATCCACATAGAATGCCTTTGGTGAACTGGGTGTGGTCTGGCGACTTGAAAAAAAAAACAAAGGAGCAGCTATGACAGGAAAACTCGTGTGGCATGCATGGTGCCCTGGTGCCGCAAAATGTTGGCTTAGTCCGCTAGATCGATTTGAGCACATGTGTATGTCCCACAAAGGAGGGGTATATTCCATTTAGGATGGACATGCCCCCATTTGACGTCAGCCCAGGCAAACCCAGTGTGGATCATCTTATTTTGTCATGACTAACTAAACACATGATAAGTAATTGAAACTCACGATAGAACTAAGCAAGCAAATATGCCTTTAGAAATTGTGTATAGAACATTTTATTGTGAAATACTAGTTGGCATTGTGATTATTAGGAGCAGGATGTGTTAGCCAACGAGTCAGGCACACGTGTGGAGGTTCATGCTTAGAGCACCAGAGTTGCTCCTCAACTCGTAGGCTAAGCAAAAGAGGGCTCGGGTAGGGATGGCCATAATTAACTAAAACTGAGAATCGAACCGAAATAACCGGAACCAAAACTGAAATAACCAGTTGTCTGTTCAGTTCCAAAGAGAAGGAACCAAACTTTTCTTTGCTTATTTCGGTTCTACTCTTGGTTAACCGAATTAAACGGAAGAACTAATTACAAGAACTTGTATTCCAATTATTTGCATTTTGTAAACACTATGTATGGTTTACGTGTGATATGTCATATTTGGACTACTTTGTGTTTGTGTTACTATATTTGCTATTGTCTTCTTGTCAATTATTATTATTATCTAGAACTGAGGAAGTGTTGCTAAATTTTCTTCTATAAATTGAGCTTTTTTATTGTCTTAGCCTATGCTAAAAACTGCGAATCAAAACTGAACCAAAATAACTGAACACTGGGATGCTCATTTCCTAAAATTTCTCGAAACCAATCAGTTCCCATTTTCTAGGAACCAATTTTTTCAAGAACCAAGGAACCAAGCCTAAGAACTGATTGCTCACCCCTAGGCTCAGGCATATAGTGACACACCACAGTAAGAACGATGTTCTATTTAGAGCCTTCTAGGTATTAAATCTGTAGTTTTTTTGGGTGCTTCGTAGCAATCCAAGTAAGTTTTACTACTTAGCTCATATTTTGAAAATTTTAGAGTTAATAGTGAAGAGTACCAAGGCACCGAAACCCTTCTTTACTCGTGCCCTTAAGCAACAACGGGGAACAAGCTGGAAGATGAACATAAAGGTCATCTGATTGTTATCATGGTAGTTAATTATAAGATTTTTTATATTGAAATCACATGCTTTTTGAAAGCCGGAAGAAGCAACAAGAGGAACTCTTCAGAGATGCTAGAATGGTATAAACACAAGGAAAAAATGTAGAAAATTTGCTTCGTAATAATAAAATGACTTCCACGAGAAATTCAGAAAGAAATTTCTAGACCTCTTTTGTAGAACAGAGCACCAAAACCATTATTTCATATTGGATAATAACTAGGTAGTGTGCCTTGTTGACGAGGCTCGAGATGCATCTATCAAGTAGGGATGGCAATGGGTACTCTTACATGAAATATGATGGGTACAAACCCTATTAGGCACCGGTATGGGGCCTCCCACCCCAAGGGTATGCTAAAGAGATATTTCTTATCACCATCAGGTAGAGCGGGTGCACATTCCCCTATACCCCATCCTGCTACCCGATATGGTACCCATCAACGACCTATGACATGTGGGTATAGAGCATATACAAATTGAAACACTACCTGCCAGTCATCTAGCCCCATTCCTTTACCCTCCCGGCCACTAGCCCTCACACTCCAGTCTTGAACACGTTCCCTTCTCCCCTGTTAGATACACACCGAATCACCAATTTTCATGTACTCTCAAGCACCGATCCATTGTGCTCGTGTGCTATGCACGCACCTATGACATGTTAGTGTGTTGTGTCCCTATCATGCATGACCATCTGCTCTTCTTGTGCCATGGTCTGTCACCACTTCTTGGTCCTAGCACGGGCACCGGTAACTTAGCACAGGTTTTGTTGCCAACATGAGGTCATAACCTATGTGGCGTGAGGGTTGGGGGGGGGGATTGATTTCTTAGCCATGGGTCCGAAAAATTCCTTTTCTATTGTGGACTGTTTTTCATTTTTCTATTCCATTATTTTAAAACTTTAGTCATCGACTTACTCGGGATTGTGGTGCTAATTTGCTAAAAATTTGGAGAATTTGCAATGTTGGTGATGAGTTGCTATTATGTGAATTGTACATTTGTAATAATGCATTTATGCTACTAGAGGAAATTTTAATTATAAATCTATAAAACTTGAATTATTGGTTGTCTATACTGGGTGTGTGTTGCCCAATGACCACTTGTTACCCACACGGGTGCCAGATGTGGGGGAAATCTAGACCCGAGATGAGTGGTGGGTGTGAGTGGCGCTACTGTTTTATCCCAACATGGATTGGTTTGGAGCTATGCTCACAAGGTTTCATACCCATTGCCACCCCTATTATCACAGAGCAAATGGTCGTTGTTTTGAGGCTAGTTTGTAATGTTTGACATGTTGTTTTCATTCAAGTTCTGACATCAAATTTATTAACTATTCTTCTTACTCCATATATTTTTTCAACTTAAAAAAATAGCAACCTTAAAAAGTGTGTGAACACACGACTTGGAATAATAGTATTTTTCAAAAACAAAATGTTATACACACTATATAAAAATACAAAGCAAGTGTTCTATCTTTCTATGCTACATGAGAGCATTGGCATGGTACCTTTCCTAGTTTGGACTCACTAATTAGAGTCCCCTTCACCTTCTAGGGAGTTTGTGCCGACCAACTAGATGGTTTTCATGATAGGACGCTCAAACTTGTCCTAGCGAGCCACTGGACATAAACTCCATCTTACGCCTCCATTGTGTCCTTGTTGAATCATACACCAATGCATATGTGCTCATGCTCATTGGCAACCTCTTCAAAATGGTAGTCAAGCAGAAGGTGGACTACAACATGCTATTATTGCTAGGGAGGTTCACCAACATGCTCTTCCATTGTTCCATCGGTGGCACCACCACCAACTTGCTTCACGGTCATGATCATCATATCCACCATCTCCTAGCCTTGCTTAACTCCATCTTGTGGATCTTTCTCAATCATCTCCATTGAAAGCATTAGTCAACTAGTTGTCACCAAATTACCAAAACCAAACTAGGGTTTTCACCCACTGGGTATCATACCCATTGCCATCCTTGTTGTCATGGAGCAAATCATCGTTGTTTACTTGTTTTGAGGTTAGCTTGTAATTCTTGGCATGTTGTTTTCATTTAAATTCTAACCTCAAATTTAGTAACCATGCTTCTTACTCTACATTTTTTCAAGTTAAAAATTTAATAACCTTAAAATGTGTTCTACACACAACTTGGAATGGCAGTACTTTTTCTAAAAAAGTTCTAGACTTCTACATGAAAAATACAAAGCAAGTGTCCTATCTTTCTATGCAACATGAGAGCTTAGCATTGGTAGGATGAGACAATAGCTTTCCTAATTTGAGCGGACCAATTGGACAACCCCAAACCTTCCAGGGAGTCCATGCTGACCAACTAGATGGATTCCATGATTGCATGCTCAAACTTGTCCGTGGTGAGGCACTAGCCATAAATTCCATCTTACACCTGCACTGCCTCCTTGTTGACCCATCCGCTGATCCAACTATGGTCATGCCGATTGACATCCTCTTCAAAATGGTAGTTGCCATGGTTGCTATGGAGGTTCACCAATGCGTCGTTACACATGTCCATGTTCGACTACATGGAGGCTGTGGCCCAAGGGCCACTGATGGCAGCACCACCAGCTTGCTCGGGAGGCACTTGCTTTGAGCTATCAATTAGGATGGGTGACGAGCTCGGGGGCATGATTGGCTTCAATAATTTGGGATGAAGGAAAGCCTATGCAAGGTTGTGGTAGGCATAGTGCATAGGACCTATTAATGGGGAATTGTGCAGGAGTCACTGACTGAAAAATGGAGTGGGTCTTGGCGCAAAAACCATTTCTAGCATGAGTGACGGCATTGTGCTGTGAGGGACGGCTCAATCTGGCTGACCTAAGTGAAAGAGTTCATCCCACATCCTAGGGTACATTCATTGTTGGATGCACTAATCTCCTAGGTAACTTAAAACTAGGCAACCCTTGACATCCACTTTGCCTTCTAGGGAGTCAGTGCCTACCAACTATTGCATGATTGGATTCCCCATCTAATCCTAGCAAGGTACTGGCCCTCAACTCCATGCTTGTTTGGAGATACATGGCAAGATTGACAACAGATGTTGTCCAAACACACAACATATATTTCTAACATTGCACATAGGGTCGACAGTAAGCATTATGGGCTTGATTCTTTAAGCTAGAAGATGTCTGTCATCCTCAAAGGAAGCAAGTCGACACACAATGTCTTCCTTGATATAGCCATAATCCTATGCATTCATGGCCGCAATGTGTGGTAGCATTCTGATGGCATGTGGTGCAGTTCTTGGAGACACAAAGTTTTCTAATCAATGGTTAGGCGTGCGCCCATGATGCAATGCAGGCTGTGCCCGGGCGTACTCTATGATGAGGTAGAGCTTGTCCGCCTTCATGCCTCGCACCACCTCTTGGAACTCCACCACGGTGGAGTTACCCGCGCATGCCGCGAGCAGCGCAACCTCACGTAGAAGCGACTCTCTGCTGGCGCGCACGGACTTGATGGCGACCTTCCTGCCACTATGGCGATGGCGCGCTTTCCACGCATCGTCGAAGGCCCCCACACCGATCTTGCCGAATTCCTTGTATGAGTCGACTCTGCCTATCCGGATGTTGTCAAGTGGGTTGCTTGTCCCTGGTGTGATAGTCGACGATGCAGCAGCCGGCGTCGACATTGTGGCGGCTGGCGGTGCTTCGTCTCCATTGTTGCCACTTGATGCCGATTGAGAGGCCGCCTTCCACTCGTGATGGAGGCGGTCGCTTAGTGGGAGCTATACACAGGTGTGCTAGAGCAGAGTAGCAGAGTCTGGAGGCTAACCTATGGAGTGTTGCTTATTTTTCCCTTATCACTGGAGGATTTTTTGACAAGACTTGCAGGAGGATTGGTTTACCCTTAGACTGACAGTGATTCAACTAGGAGGAAGTGAGAGTGAGAAGAGGTACTTCTAGGAATAGAACTACTTGAATTTGGGGACTTTCGCTCACCGACCAAAGTTACCAAAATTGGAGAATTTTCTTGATTTGGAAAGAGCTAGATTAGGGATAGGGGATTTGAGCCTAGAGGATAGAGCTCATGAACACCTTTGGCAGTGACGAGTATAGATGACGTCAGCAGCGGTGGTGACTGGCTTAGTGGTAGGTATCTCCATGTAGTGGCGACGTGGTGGTGGCACCGCCTACCATGCAAAGGCAAGATGGTGATCGAGGCAATCAGTGACGGTGCTAAGATGATATATATACTAGTGGCCCCGACGACCATATCAAGAGAAGTGGTCATCAGGCAGAAGTAGGGGAGGTACCACTGGTGTGCCTGAAGTTGGAGTTGATGGAGGTCACCGGAGGTTAGGAAGACGCATAGTTCTTATCGGGGCAAGCAGGTGTAGAAAAGATACATGGATGACAGATGGATAAAAAATGGCTGGATATGTTGATACCAAATCAAAATCTATTGTTTAAAAAAAACAAATCAAAATCTATATCCGACAAGTGTTAAATGTGTTGACATCTATCATATAGTGAATTGGCCTAAATAAATGTTGTGAATGGTTCTTTATATTCTTTTTCCACTTCACTCGCCTCTCTTCTTCTTTTGGCCCTATCTGTAATTGAATTACCCAAGCTTCAAACGCTAAGGGTAAGGCTACATTAAGTTGGAGATGGATGAGTTCCATAATGGGAAAGGTTTGAGGTATCCATTAGTGTCGGAAGAGTTAGCTCCAGCAATACCTAACATTGTATTCGCACACAGGGAATCAAATGGGAAGCACACAAGACATAGTGATTATATTGGTTCAGGCACGTGGTGCCCTACGCCTAGTTTTTGAAGTAGCTTCTCTCTATATTTGTATGCTCGGTAGGGGCTGCTGCTCATAGCTATGCGCTAGAATGCAGATCATGGAATCTGATCGGGAGGCCCCTACCCCTCCATATATATTTCGGGGGGTATAGTTATAATAGATCCGATTGGCTAATAGATGTGTTTCCTAGTTTGTTATATAGAAAGCATAATAGAATGATTCTATCCTATCGCCTAGATATAACTGTGCCGGATATCCTCGGAATGACTTGATCTCCAAGCTTGTGGATTCGCCTGGCCTACGTGGGCCTCATTCCTCGTCGTCTTCTTCCTGGTAGATAAGTGTGTATCGGGTATATGGGCGGTGATGGTACCTCGGGCCCATTATCCGACAATTACCATCTTCACCTTCAAGAAGAGTGGTTTTATTGTCCTTGGCATTGAAATTATACCCATGAACAAGGGGCTTGAGAACCTTATACCGGTAAATAATAAGTAGAGAGAAGCTGACTTTATAATCCAGTGCTGGTGCAGCGTGTGTAGCTCACTGACATTTTTAACTTAAAAATTCATAAACTAAAAAAATGTTCTACACACAACATGGAATGATAGAATATAGTTAAAAATGTTCTACACATTATATGAAAAATATAAAGCTTGTGTCCTATCTTTCTATGCAACATGAGAGCTTCGTATTCCGATGGCATGTGGTGCAGTTCTTGGAGACAGTTTTCTAATCAATGGGTAGGAGCATGCCCATGACGTAATTCAGGCTGCGCCCGGCGTACTCCATAATGATGTAGAGCTTGTCCATCTTCACGCCGCGCACCACCTATGGAACTCCACCACGGCGGGGTTACCCGTGCACGCCGCGAGCAGCACAGCCTCACGCAGAAGCGACTCTCCGTTGGCGCACACAAACTTAATGGCAACCTGCTTGCCACTATGGTGATGGCGCGATTTCCACATGTCATCGAAGGCCCCCGTGCTGATCTTGCTGGATTCCTTGTATGAGTCCTCCCTGCCTATCCGGATGTTGTCAAGCGCGTCGCTCATCCCTAGTATAACAGTCAGTGATGTAGCAGCTGGCATCGACAATGTGGCGGCTGGCAGTGCTTTGTCTCCATTGCTGCCACTTGAGGCTATTGACAGTTGTTAATGTCAATTATAAACTATCAACATAACCTGTATATATGCTTAATTTTATCACCAAACATAGTTATAGGGTTTGATTCTAACAAGTTCCACGAGTTTTGGTGCAATCATTTGTCTCATAGGATATTTATTTTTTCACAGAACAAAACTATCTCAAATGATGAATTGGAGTGCACCATTGTGAAGAACTCGTCGAGCTGATCGAAACGGATATATTATTTGCTATATTTGGAGCTCGGGATGAAAAAAATATAAATTTCGCAAATAAAAGAAAAACTCCACATCATGAGCTGTGGGATTAATTGGGCCCAATTCAGAATTTGGCCCATTAAGGCCTATGCGCATTTTAATGAGATATGATAGAAAGTTTAATACCAATGAGGCTATTCAGAGAGGAAGGGTGTCTGGCGCCCCTCATAAATAGCAGCCCCTACCCCCTCCCTGAGGCAGATCTTGAAAACCTAATTCATATCTCTCATTCAGATCAAGGCACACAAGCAGGATTAGATCTAGAGCTCTCCAATGTAGCAGATTAGTAGCTCGGAAGTGAGGGTTAAGTTGGGCTCCTGCTCAAGTTTCGGTTCTAGTCTTGGAGGCTCGGCAAAGCCTTATATCTTCACTTCTACATCTTGTAAGACTTATTATCAATTTATCATATTCTTATCTACATGGCTATGTTTACTTTGAATATATATCTTGCTTAGTTAAAGGTTATCAATACTTTTGTGTGTGGGTTCATAGAGCGCTTAGCTTGCTAGTTTACCGGTTAGGCTATGTAGCCGAGTCTCGTGTAAGCATGGGGCTTATACGATGCTCTGCCTGTGAGTGCACCCTGTTCTCTGGTTGGGTGGTAGCAGCGGGAGGTGATAGCCCCGTCTATCCTTTGTAGTCCACTTCGAATTGAGCAGGTTCTTAAATTGTAGGACCATAGTCGCGTCAGTAGAGTTATCTATTATGGGTGCTCTACCGTCTAAGCGGCGTCCTGAACTGCACAAGAGTAGAGTTAGTCTTAGCTATAGTCGGGTATATATATACTTTGATCCTGTAATAAGAATATCATAGGAATCTACCTCACCTGTTGTTCTCTCAAGTTGATTAGTTTACATTATCTTTATATATCTATCCCCTAAGTGTCATTATGCTTAATTCCTATCTATATATTTACCCTCTACTTAAGCTATGCTGGTATATTGATAGATATTTCTCTATTACTCAATAAGTCTTACTCCATTGTTTCCCTATGGTAAAATATAAATAACGATACCTAGAATACTCCCGGTAAAATGCTACAATGATATTCTGTGCGCTTAAGAAATCCTTCATATTCTTTTTGCATTAAAAAATACCAACAGAGGCCGATTGATAGGCTGCCTTTAGCTCGCGATGGAGGCGGCCGCTTTGTGGGAACTATACACAGGTGTGCTAGAGCAGAGTGTGGAGGCTAGCCTATGGACTGTTGCTTCTTTTTTCCTTCTTGCTGGAGGATTTTTTAGAAGACTTGCTGGAGAATTGGTTTCCCCTCAGACCGACAATAATTCAACTAGGTGAGAGTGAGAAAAGGTACTTCTAGGATTAGAACCACTTGAATTTGGGGACTATCGGTCACCGACCAAACTTACTAAAATTGGGGAATTTTCTTGATTTGAAAGAGCTAGATTAGGGTTAGGGATTTGAATGTAGAGGAAAGAGGTCACCAATGCCTTCGGCGCTGATGACAAGTATAGATGACGTCAACAGCAGCGGTGATTGTCTTAGTGGTAGGTATCGCCATGTGGCGATGACATGGTGGTGACACCGCCTACCATGCGAAGGCAAAGATGGCGATCAAGGGAATCAGTGATGGTGCTAATATGATATATATACTAGTGGCGCCGACGACCATATGAAGAGAAGTGGTCATCAGGCAGAAGTAGGGGAGGTACCACTAGTGCGCCTTAAGTTGGAGTTAGTGGAGGTCACCAGAGGTTAGGAAGACACATAGTTCTTATCGGGGCAAGCCGGTGTAGAAAAGATACATGAATGATGGATGGATAAAAAATAGTTGGATATGTTGATACCAAATCAAAATCTATATCTGATAAGTGTCAAATGTGTTGATATCTATCATCACTACTAGGAATATCAACTTCTATGACAAAATTTTTAATGACGAATATGAAACCGTCATAAAAAATTGCTTTTTATGATGAAATTTTTGGTTTCGTCATAGATCACCGTGACGAACCTCGAACCCCCTTACCTATGACGAAATCGGGTATCATCACAAAAAATGTCATAGAACAGCATAGCATTTCATCATAGATCACTCGCATAACTGTTCCTGCTCGTCTGTGACGATCTTATTCAGAATTGTGACGAATAGGGCTTCATCATTGAGTTAATTACTGATCTATGATGAACAATATTCGATCTATAATGATGGCGCTTCATCATAGATCTCCACACGGTACCTTCTCCATCTGACATGTACCTATGGGACCTATAGTTACTCATCCGTGACGCTTGCAGTTCATCATAAAAGTGTTCGCTCGATCCTTTCTCCATGCGATGTGTACCTGTGGGACCCTGTCTCCATCCGACCTATGGGACCCGAACCTGTGGGGCCAATCTCCATGTCCATCGGACCTATGAGACCCGATGACTTGTGTGTCACTTGTGCTTGTGGACCCTTCTCCATCTGACCTGTGGGCCCCGAAGGCACCTTTCTCCATCTCCATCCGACCA